CAAGAGATCGAGACCATCTTGGCCAACATGGTGAAACCCCGTCTCTACTAAAAATACAAAAATTAGCTGGGCTTGACCGTGCACGCCTGTAGTCGCAGCTACTTGGGAGGCTGAGGCGGGAGAATAGCTTGAACCTGGGAGGCGGAGGTTGCAGTGAGTCGACATTGCACCACTGCACTCCAGCCTGGGGACAGAACTAGACTCCGTCTCAAAAAGGACAAGGAGTCCAGGACAGAGGTCACAGCAAAGGTCACAAGAAGGGGAGGGAGGGAGGCCTGAGAGGGGATCCCAGTTACCGGCAGCAACAGAGACTCAACTCAGCCAGAGAGGACTTCACTCCTCACCCAAGGCCAACAGCGCCCAGACCCAGGTCAGCCCTCCGGCGAAGGGAAAGGTGCAATCAACCAACAGCAGCCAAGCGACGGGAGTGCGGTCAGCCCACTCAGGCATCCCAGCAGAGGGGCCACGGGGTTCTCGAGGTCCTCCCCTCGCCCAGACCTTCCCAGCAGAGCCAGTACCATGCACAATTCCAGATGATGCCGTCGACGTCATGTCTCAGATGACAAGGTCTCCCAGAAGAATGCAGTAGGCAGCCTGCACAGCTGTGCATGGAAGCCCTGGGGCCAGCCCTGTCCCAGCCCCTGCAGCCAACCCTGGCGTGGGGAGCCCCTTGCCCACATCCACACACCCCAACTCTGAGCAGCTCCGGGCACCACCCCTGACCTCCAAAGACGCTGTGTGTGATCAGCAAGTCCACAAATATCCATGAGCACAGCCCGCCTGCCGCAGTGCTGTTCATAAAAGTAGAAAACACTCTTCCCTTCCACGACAGGAGAACGGCCATGCGAATGACGGCACGGGCTTGCAACAGACGCCAAGACGCTGCTGCGGAAGCTCATGCCCAACGAACGGGACAGGCATTCACTGTGCACTAGAGAGTGAGAGGCAAGGGCAGTGGGCATGCCTCATTTTTGTGAAAATGTACATTAAAGTTTATAAGACACGTGGAAACATCTGGAAGGTTCTGTGCCGTACCTGTCATGAGATTATTTCTGGGCAGTGAGATTAAAGATGACTTTCCTCTTTTTTATCTTTTTTTTTTCTTTTTCTTTTCGCTTGCAGGGGCCTGGTTGGCCGGGAGCTCTCCCACACACTTTCCACTCTGAGCCTCACTGAGGTGGGGACGGCACGTCCATCACACTGCAGTCAGAGAAGAAGCTCCAGGAGGCCGGCGCCGCCACAGACCACAGGCCAACAAGAAGCAGCGCCTGGATCAGCCCCAGCGCCTGGTCTGTCTCCCACCAGAGCTCCGCAGAGGCTGGGGAAGCCAGGAACAGCCCGTAGGGAGCTGAAGGCAAGAATGGTGGTATGGGGTTGGACGTGGTGTTCCCTGACATGCTTGCTGGGAACAGACGCCACCTGCCCACCAGGCAGGGTCAGCCAGACCTGAAGCTGCTAACCTTTGTTCTGGGGAGGGGTCATCTTAACACTACCTGCTCTGTGTGTGTCCCGGCAGGCCCGGGTGGTCCCAATCTTCAACTCCGTCCCCGGGTCCCCACACATTCACCCACATGTGCAAGGCTGCATGAGACACAGGAAAGGGGACACCTCGCCAGGAGCTCCCCAGGTGCACCAACTTCTGCCCTGGAACTGACCCCCTCCCCAACAGGAAGGCTGGACCACCTCACTCCCGGCTTCTGGGTCTTCCCGGGTGAGGGCCGGCTACCAAGTACGCTACTGCAAGAGACGCGTAGCTCTTTTGCCCAGAAAATAAAGGGTTTAGAAGGGCAAATTAATTCTGGTGCTGCTTAAAGAGAAATAACCGCTTCCGCCCGGGATTTTAATTACGGAGCTCTGCAAGAGCTGTGAACTCTGTTTTTCTTCATTATTTTCCGAGCAAGTTCTCCTCCTTCTCCCCCCACTTCCCACCACCACGTCCGTGTTTGCTCCTCGACCTTCTCTTGTGTTTTCCAACCCAGTGACTCAAAGCGAACCGGAGTATGCTGCTGGATGCTTTCAGGGGCTGGATTTTAACATTCTATTAAAATTTCAATGGATGTCCTGTGAGTTGGGAATTTCCTATCTGCAGAAACCTTTGCCTTCATTCTAGTTAAGAAAATAAAAAACAAAAAGGCTGTTCCCTGTGGCTCTGTATTCCAAACGCTATAAATTCCAAAGATTAAAGGGAGCCCGGCCCCCCTCGAGACCCCCTTTCCCTGGCGTGGCTGGCAATCAGGCCTCTAATTACGTTTCCTGTTTGCAACCGGCAAATAAAATATTTAGGCAGCCTACGCTGAGTGTTCCGGGCCCAGCCCAGCCCGCAGCTGCACTGCCCCCAAACAGGAAGGCACAGAGACAAAAAAATTAAATGAAACAAATGGCAGATAAATACAGGCGCGTCGTTTTAAAAATTCATAAACACTAGCCTCTGATGCAATTTTATTTTGGGTAACTAGTGAAAAACCCATGTAACTTACTGAAGAGATTCGATTGAAGCATGATTTTTCAAGAAATGACATTGAATGGCTTCCCACCGTGTGTGCCGTGGCTCGGCAGGCTCCCGGAATGGAGTGTCCCCCAGGTCCCACCAGAACCTAACAAACGAGTGGCCAGCAACAGCTGCACTGAGGCTGCACAGACGGGGCGTCCGCTCTGCTGCTGACCAGATGGGCAGGCCCAGTAAACAAGCAGCCTCAGTTTCTCCATCTGTGACTCGGGAGCGATCAGCAGGAAGCTCTTGCAGGGCTGTGGGGAGCTTAGTGCGCCCACGAGGGCATCACAGGCACAGTACCCTGCACCTCAGGGGTGCCCTGGGTGGGCAGGGTCTCCGTCCAGCCTGACTGCCCCAAGAAAGGGAAAGGGTGCCCAGATGCCAAATCCACAGTCCAAGCTGCGGTGTAGTTTCGCTGAGATTCTGGAAATTCCTTTCTGTTTTGCAAAAAGAGGAGCCAAATACCAGCACCAGAGGGGCGGCCCGGGACCCAGGCACCCACCTCACTGAGCCGCGGCGGCGGAGGGCAGCAGGTCCGCAAACTGTAACAAGTTGGCTCTGTAGCCCTGTTTGTCAGAGGAGGAGGCTGTTCCCAGGAGGCGCGGGCTCCACGGGAGACACCCCAACTGCGCTCAGCGGGGAGAGGTTGTCGCCCCAGTCCCTAGTGAAGGTCTGTTTGTGCAGGAATCCATCACCAGCAGACAGGCTTTTACAGAAAGACTCACCATTCCCCTGCACCTGATTTGGGATGGAGGAACTCATTTGCTAAGGAAGGTTCTAGAAAGTGGCCGCTGGCGTGGTGGCAGGTGTGTGGGGATGGGAGAAGCGGCAAGAGGTCCAGGGACCCAGGCAGGATGGCCACTTATGGGTGTCCAAGCACCCACAGCTGACCCATGGAGCCCAAGCAAGAAGGACACCAAGACCACAGCGGGTGGAAGGGACCCGGTGGGAGACCCAGCTGAGGACAGCAGAGGCTGAGGCACCGAGGCTCGGCCCTGCTTCCCCTGTGGCCCCTCACAAAGCCCCTCCCCCTTTCCAGACTCCTCCCTGCAGACCCTTCTCGGTCCACCCACCGGCCAAGGCTCAGAGGGCTCTGAGGAAGCCAGAGCAGGGTGGCAAGGCCCACCCAGGGTCCGGGTGCACCTGCAAGGCAGGCTCCGAGCTGCTCACCTCCCTGCTTTCCTCAACCTGGAAGCAGCTGGGGCTCCCAGGCAGGGTGCCACAGCACCACCTCTATTTACCCCTCTGTGAAATGGGAAGAAAGTTCTCCCCAGGTGAGGCTGTCTCACAGCTCAATCAGACACTCTCCAAGCTGATGCTCTGAAGCCACATGTGTACCTGTGTCCCCATCACTAATACTGTCCTCTTTCCTACCTTGGAGGGGGGGCTCAGCCCCCAGGAAAAGAGTTCCACACTTTTCCAGCATCCCCTCAGGAGCCCTGGTTCCATAGGAGCGGGGAGCCCAGTGCCTGATGGGACAGAGCACCGCATGCGGCTGGGACCCCCGTGTCCTAGGGATCCAAGAGCACACGGCTGGGCAGCAGCCCCTGGACAGGACCCACCAGCCTTTGCGCAAACCAGGAAGGAGCTTGTCCCCCAGTACCAGGGCGCCCGGCTGGCAAGTGCAGGCGGCTGGACCCTGGCTCCCGCATTGGCACCTGTGAGGCCACACCGGGACCTTCGTGGGCCCCAGACACCATCCCCCCGTGCCTGATGGGTCTGTTGCCTTGCCCAGCCTCGGCTTTCAAGGTGACCTTCAAGGACTGCTGCAAGGACTGCCCTGCCAAAGAGCCTGGCACAGGCTGTTGGGCCCAACCCCAATCACTGACAGGTTCGCAAAGACACCCGAGCCGCAGGGCCTTGGCGGACAGGTAAGCAGGGTGATCTCGTCCAGAAATCTTGTCCACGTGAACCCTCCTTCAGAGATGACCGAGGCCTGACACCGCAGAAGTCACTGTGTCCAGCTCCCGCCTCTCCTGCCCCTCAGCCCCTCAGCTCCTCCCTGGGAACCACCTGTCAGCTGCCCCAGCTTGGCTTTGTGTTTTCACCTGGGAGTGACTCAGGGCCTCCAGTGGCCCGGGGTGATGGGGGAGCTTGCTGGATCCAGGCACCAGCAGTCACCTCCGTCCCCAAGGAAGGCCCTGCCAAAGGGCCCGGCACCAGGCACTCCACGTTTGGGCCAGGACTTGTTGATTGCTGTCCAGACTCCCAGTGACACATTCCCCTCCTCTGGGGTTGCCCCTACTTGGCCTCTGTGCCAGCTGACAGCCAGAAGTCTGGCGACTGAGCCCGGTGGGGTCTCTGCCTGGCGAGGGTCCTGGGTTTTGTCCCCATGCCGTGGGGGCTCAGGAAGCGCCCCTCAACTTCCTCCTGCTTCTCAGCATTCCCAGCTTCCAGCACACAGATGCCGGGCTCGAGTCTCCTCCAAGGCCAGGGCCACCCTCTACCAGGTCCCACTGAGCCTCGTGGGGCTGGTGAAGCCACCTGCCCACCTCAGCACTGCATCTCCAGCCGGGGCTGAGTGGCAGTGTGGGCACCGCGGCCCGGGACAGCAGCTTGGGCTCAGAGCCAGGCTTGTGGCTTCGCCTCTCAGCCTGTATCTCCTCCCCTGTGGGATGGGGACTCCATGGCACCCCCATGATGGACAGGATGCCATGGGCCTCAGCCCAGGGCAGACCTCAGTGTCCTTCCTGTGGCCGCTGCCGGAGGTACGTGACCACAACACAGGTGTGGACTGACGTCACTTTGCCTCATGCCTGCGGGGAGGGCCCTCTCCCCCATGGTCTCGGTGGGGCCTCATCACACCTGGGAAGTAACTGGGGCATCTCAATTTCACAGATGAGTAAAAGGAGGCTCAGAGCAGTTACAAGCGGAGGCTGAGACCTGGGCAGGTCTTTGTCATCTTGGAGTCCAGCGCATACACAGGACCGGCCTCCAGTGGGCTAGACGGAGCTGCCTCCTACCCTTCCCTGCTCCCAGATGCACACACACAACCCCTACATATACACAAGAGCACGCACTCACAGGAGTGTGCGCAGGTGTGTGCATGCCTGCACATGCACAGAATGCACAAGGCACACACAGGCACAGGCATGAGCACACACACGTACACACACACGCCTGCACCCGTGCCTCCCAGATCCACAGAAGGGAGGGGGCGGTTCCGAGGCAGGCTATGCTTCTCCAGCAGTGAGTGAACAAAATCTGTGCTGCGGGTGGCCAGAGCCCAGCGATGAGGGAATCTCACACCCTCCAGGGAGGGGACTCATCCCCATCATTGTGCTGACGCCTGGGCCTCCAGAGACCCACCTTGAACTCCTCCCCAGGCCTTCCTGGGTTCCAGACGGGCCGGCCACGGGCGTGACGCAGCGCCATCTAGCGGACAGCAGGGCCGCAGCGTGGACAGAACGGCCGGACGCCCCGTCCTGGGCTGGCGACTGAGGGCACAGCCTCACAGGGCAAGAGGGCATGCAACACCTGCATCTTTCTGGCATAAGAACCTCAGGAAAACCAAAGGAATATAAGGCTGTGTTCTTTGGAGCCACAGAAAGCTCTGTTCACATGGCAGTCGCTGAAAGATTAAGGGAGCCACCACCCCAAGGTTCAAGGGGATCGGTTTCTTTCTCCCCTGTTTTTAAAGATCATTTAAAATGCCTAAAGACACCCTGGGATCCAGTGCTGGACGAATGATGCAGGTTTCCATGCATTTGGGCTCCTGCCCCACCTTCAGCCCCAGCCCCAGCCCCAGCCCCAGCATGGTTCCCTGGTGGTCTCAGGAGCAGGTGAACGCGGAGGTCCCGCTGTCGGTGCAGACCCTGCTCTCACGTTAGCCACCTTGCTGGGTAGGAATGAACTCAGACACTGCAGGGCACCCCCAAAGCCCACATCAAGCTCTAATTCCACAGTTACTTTTACAAACAGGATAACGTTCCCAAGAACTGGCTGGATCATCTGCTCTCAGCCAGGGTGGCTGCAGGGCTGTGGGCAGCTGGTGCCTCTATACAGGACATCTTCACCCCAAAACCCCAGGCCTGCAGTCCCAGGATCTCTTTCTCCCCACAGTGACCACCAGGTGGCAGGTCAGGTGCAGAGGGGCACTCTACATCCCCCAACTCCCAGGGGGATGGGACACCCACCACGCCCCAGGGCCTTCATCCCTCCTGTAAGTGGAGGCTTGCCTTTTGGATAGCGTGGCAGGGATCTCACATTCATGCCACACAGCAATTCGTGGGGACCTCAGAGATATGCAGGGAGGACAAACAAGGCCCGCATCTGGAGTACAGCAGCCGGCTTGGCAGGAAGGATGCAAAGGGCACAGGCCATCTGTCTCCACCCGCAGCCCCTAGAGCCTGCAGCGTCGTGCTGCTGGTGAGAAAGACAGCGGCCCCATCACACGCGAGAGGCAGCTGTCTGTCGAGAGCCTGCTTGGGCTCCCAGGCTCCCTCATCGTCTGACTCCCCCACGTGGGGAGGGGGCGATGACCTTTCATGTCGAGGAAGTTGAAAGCTGCTCTTTTTCTTTTTGAATCTCATCTCCACTCAGGGCCACACAGAGAGGCTATTGTGCGCCACTTGCTGGGTTAGGAACAGATGGATCAGGGCTTCTGTGCTGCCTCTGCCTGGTCCTGGGAGAGAGAAGCTTGCACAGCCATCTCTCTGGAAGACCTGGGCTTCTCAGGCCGGAGGGTCTGCACATGTAGGTGTGTGTGCATGCATAAATACGCCTGGGTGTGCATGCCTGTGCTGCACGCAAACAAGTGTACATGTGGGCATATGTGTGTGTGTGCCTGCATGTGCCGCTCTGGGCATATGTGTGCATGTGCCTGCGTGGGCAGTTCTGGGTGTGTGTATGTGCCTGCGTGGGCAGCTCTGGGTGTGTGTGTGTGTGCATGCATACATATGCATATATGTGCATTTTGTGTGTGCACATGTGCCTGAGTGTGTCTCTCTACATGTGATGCATTTGTACATGTGTGTGCCTGTGTGCCCGAGTCTGTGTCTATGTATATGCATGTGTGAATATGCATACGTACGTGCATTTCTGCACGTGTGCGTGTGCCTCTACGTGCCTGGCCATGAACACACACGTGAATGTCTGAGCAGCTCCAGAGGGAGGGCCACCACCCTGCATGGTGGACGTTGGTTTGAGCCTGTGAGGACTATAGTGTCCCCCAAAGCCCTTCAACTACAGCCCAGCCCAACCCAACCCGGAGCGGATCACAGGCCCCGGAGACATCTCCAACCCTCACACGCAGCTCCCAGACCCAGGCTGTCCTTCACTCTGCAAGGGCGGGCCAACCCTGCCCACTGCCAGGGACCCACTCCAAGGCGCCTGCAGGAGGGCCGTGGGCGACAGCGTGGGCGCCCGGCAGCGGGAGGGCCTGTCGTGGTCTGTGTGCAAAGCTGGTGTGCTGTCTTCTCCAGGAACTCGCACCTTCGCTCCCCCTCCCCTGCCAGCCAACACCTCCCTCTCAACAGGACCCTTCCCACTGGCTTCTAAACACTTTCAGGTTTCTGCCATAAAGAGAAAACATCTCCCTCCCTCTCTACCCGCTCCGCGCCTGCTCCTTCTCCACTTTTTGCAGATCAAACAGTGTGCATGGAGTCCAGCCTGCTGGCTCTGTTCCGAGCTGTGCTTTGGGCATCTGTGGGCTGCCTTGCTCCTTGTGGGGTGACTTCAAGAGCAGGTCCCAGGTGTGCCTGCAGCACTGCCGACACCCCTGAGAACACAGGGCACCCCGGCTTTCGGCACCAACCGCACAGGGAGCAACTGGGCTTGGAAGTTTCCCTGAGGTGGACGCCGCGTGGAAATGGACTTTGCTGCCCGCATTCAGGCCATGGGCAGTGTTTGCTCTCCCATCACAAGCTGGCCTCATATCAACACGTCTGAGGACTAAGGCTGGTGTTCCAGAACACGCCTTTCACTGATTGTGCTAAATAAAAGAGAAAGATTAAAAAACTCAGGAGAATTGGCGGTACCCGCTGTCCCCGTTTCTCCCCTCCCACCAGCTCCACGGCCCACTCCAATCTGGCGCCCAGGCCCGGAGCGCCTCCACCCCCAGCAGCTCCTCCTGGGCCAGGGACCAGTCTCGCCCCATGCCTCTGCAGCCCTGGGGTCAACACTGGCCACTCCCTTCAAGAAGCACGCTCAGGTCTGGGCTTGGATGATGCCCCTGGTGGCCCTGGGGCCTCCCTGGCAACTCCTCCTCTGGCCTCATCCTCCAGGCCAGCCTGTCACACCCGGCTTCAGCTCCCACCTGCCCAAGGAGGATGCCCTCAGGCCACCCTGCAGGCTCTGGGCTGGGGCTCTGCCTCCTCCTCCCAAAGACCCGGAGAGTCCAGCCTCCACCCTCCTCCAGCTGCCATCCAGCCCTCCGACACCCCCACGCCCAGCTGCCCCCTCCCATCCCCCCTGCTCCAATGCACCCTCCACACAGAGATCATGTCACCACACATGCCTCATGGTGCCACTGTCCTGCTGGAAGTCCTTGGAGGCTGGCACTCTTCTCAGGACATGCTGTCCTCTGCCAACTCCACCGGTCCCGCCCCCAGCTCCTGGCCTCAGTCCCTCAGGTCCTTTATTCCATGTTTGCCACACCCACTCCCACGGTCAGACGCAGCTTCTGCGTTCCCTGTGGCCGGAACTCCTCCCCCAGGGGCTCAGCTCATCCCCAAGATTTCAGCCACAGTCACCTCCCCCGGATGGGGATCCTGACCCTGGAATGTCAGATGCTCCGGGACTCACGGTCTGGGGAGTGGGGTGGTAATGCCTGTCTCCTGGTGGGCTGCCCAGTGAGTGCACTGTTGTATCCTTGCCCCAGCACCCGGCAGGCACACCCTGGCACTGTGTAGACCCTGGCACTCAGCGAAGGAACACACCCTTCTGTGGGCCAGACCCACCCACCAAGATGCACGGGTCTCCCATCTCACTGTTCAGTGGGAAATGGCTGGGAGAGTATCCAGAGAATATTCGGAGCGCAGGACAGGACGGCAGAGCACGGCAGGAGGCCGAGAGTGCACGGCTGCTTCCAGGCCGAGCTTCTCAAGCCAGCCCTGAAGAGTTCTGACTCAGGAAGGCATCAAGCACTTGCTCGCTGCCAGGCAATGTTTCCCAAGCACTCGCTGCCAGGCAGTGCCTCCTGGCTCCTGAAGGCCTCCTTGATTCTTTACGAGAAAGGGGGGCAGGGAAAGGGGGCCAACCTTGGGCCTGGCTTCTGCTCTGCTGGGAATGCTTTCCCCTGATGACTTCTTGCTGTTCGAGTCTCAACCCAAACATCCCCCCCTTGACAAAGACACCTGAGTCCCTGCACTCAGAAGTAGCAGCCCCCAGCCAGCAGACGGGCCTCGTACACGACACCGTGTCTTACGCTCTTGCCTGTCCCCGCCTCCCCTTATCTTCCCCTTTAGTGTATTTACTTCCTGCCACCCTTCCTTCTGCACTAGAATGTCTGCTACTTGTGGGCAGGTGGTTTGGGTCCTGCACCAAATAGACACACAATAAATGTTTGTTGAATGACTAAAGGAAAGACAATGGTCTTTGGAGATCCTCCTTTCGTGGAGGCCCTGGGCTTGGTGAGGTTAAGATGGGGTAGAATGGAGTGAGCTTCTCAACTCTCTGTGCCCTTCCCAAGTGTGGTTAAAGCCAGCTGAGCGAGCCTCTGGCAAGGGCAAGATCTGGGTTCCAGTGCGTGAGCCTCATCCCGATTGTCATAGGATCCAATTGCCCTGGTCCCACCTGGTCCTCACCAGCGCCCAGCCCAGTCCACCAGCGAGCGGCTCACGGTGAGACAGCTCGATCCTAGAGACTCTTCCAGGAGGCCTGACCCGGGAAACACACTCCAGGAGCTGCTGACGGCACAAGGCGGGGGCACGCTCAGTTTTCTCACCACCAGCCCCTGAGGTGAAAACCACAGATGGGGAAACTGAACCCTGGCTCCCAGTCAACAGGGTGGAGGGGTGCTGGTGTCTGGGCCACGTTCCCTTTAGATACACGAAGAAGCCTCTCGTTCCTCTCAGGAAGGTCTGGACACCAGGCGGCGTTTCTGCTTCTCTCCATCTGCAGCTCCTCCCACCTCCCGCCCCCACCTCCCTGGCAGGATTCAACCTAGCAAGTTGTTCTACCTCCCCAGGGCCACCCACCCACGCCAATGCCACGAATTCCGATCGAGTCTCTGACTCACTGAGGCCCAAGGATGTGCCAACAAGGCCAGAAATGAGCAGGTGGAGTAGAACGAGGTCAGAAATGGGCAGGTGGGGCAGGTGGAGCAGCCAGGGACCTGCAAAGAGGGTGCTGGGCCACAGCAGGTGGCACACACTGACTCCCACCCCACCCTGCATCCGGATTCTAGACAGAGACGAAAGCAGCTGCAGCTAAAGGCATGTGCAGAGATCAGTGTGAGGGTAAGACAGAGGAGAATCAAGCTCAGGAAGGCTCCAAGTGCTCCAGACCAGCCTCAGGCCTCATCTGCCAACACACTCCCTGCCCTGGCTCAGGCTAACCCTTACTGGACCCACCTCTCATATGCAAATCCTGGGGGACTGTGGAGGAGCCCAAGGCCCAGGCAGGAGAATATCAGAATCTGGTGCTTCAGCACAGGTGCCCCGTCTTCGGGGTGCTGGGACTCCAGGAGCCCCTGTACTGTGGTTTGCAAAGTGCTTTTCCAAGTTGGGCTCCCACTCAACCTGAAAACCCTCCTGGGAGGGCAGAGTCCCAGCCCCATTTTTTTTTTTTTTTTTTTTTTTTTTTTGGAGACGGATCTCGCTCTGTATCGCCCAGGCTGGAGTGCAGTTGCCGGATCTCGCTCACTGCAAGCTCTGGCTCCCAGGTTTATGCCATTCTCCTGCCTCAGCCTCCGAGTAGCTGGGACCACAGCGCCCGCCACCACGCCGCTAGTTTTTTGTATTTTTAGTAGAGACGGGGTTCACCGTGTTAGCCAGGATGGTCTCGATCTCACTGACCTCCATGATCCGGCCCGTCTCGGCCTCCCAAAGTGCTGGATTACAGGCTTGAGCCACCGCGCCCGGCAGCCCCATTTTAAAGAAGAGAAACCTCCAAGGAAGTCAGATTCGGCTGAGTCTCGTGAGAAAGCGGAGTCACCGGGCCGCTGACGCCCACGCTGGCTTTCCCAGGGCTCCCAGGTGCCGGGCTACGGCGCTCCGGGCCGCTGCTGCTGTTCTCTACACAAGCAAGGGGTGTCAGGAGCAGTCCACCCTTTCCAGCTCATCAGCTCGGGGTGTGGGCAGATGTTCCTCCAGCTGTAGGCATCAGCTGCGCGGAACCACGGGGCACTGGAACTGTGCCTTTTGCTTAACAGAGTTGCCCAAAGATGTCTGTGAAACTGTAAGAGTTTCCATTAAACCTACCACACTATAAGCAATAGTATGAGTTAATAAAAGAATGCATATGGGCCAGGCTCGGGGCTGATCAGGGCTCGGCCAACAGCCAGGCTCAGCACTTCCTGTGTGACTGGTGTCTGAGCGCGATCTGGGCCTGGGACCAGGGCTTAGCCTGGAGTGGGCAGGGGCTCAGTCTGGACTTGGGGTACAAAGCAAGAGCTCCCCAGCCTGGAAGTGGAGCCTCCTCCCTGCACCAGCCGGAGCCCACGTGACCCTCTGTTGTGCTGGGACCT